CTTTTCAGGAAGAAGCGGCCAAAAGGGTTGGCAGAGCAATGGGTGTTGGAGCCTGGAGTGGCAGGGGATCATTGGAGGGATGGAGCCCACGCTTCTTACATTGCTCTTTCCCCTATCCCACCCACCAGGTTTACATGTTCAAGTATGACTCCACACATGGTCGCTTTCATGGCACTGTCAAGGCTGAGAATGGAAAACTTGTGATTAACGGGCATGCAATCACCATCTTCCAGGAGTGAGTGTCCCTTCCCCTTCCCTTTCCCCTTGCAGCTTGGGGCAGCAGGGGGTGATGTGGAGGAGCAGAATTCAATAATTTTTGGATATTAAATGATTTCTTTCTTCTCAGGCGTGACCCCAGCAACATCAAGTGGGGAGAAGCTGGAGCAGAATATGTTGTAGAGTCCACTGGAGTCTTCACTACCACAGAGAAGGCCAGTGTAAGTGGTGGCTGTACCTAGGGTGGATATGTGAGAGGAAGGGTTTAAGCAGGGCTGTAGCTCTGTCTTTATGCAAGAGGATGTGTTTTGAATGACTTCAGTGTGTGAGGGTGTGTATGGCTTGCATGTGTGTGATTATCCCCTCATACCTGGGTAGCTAAGAGTATTCTCCCTCTCTCCTAGGCTCACCTGAAGGGTGGTGCAAAGCGTGTGATCATCTCTGCCCCCTCAGCTGATGCACCCATGTTTGTGATTGGTGTCAACCATGAGAAGTATGACAAGTCTCTGAAAATTGTCAGGTGAGGAATGGTTACCTGTGCAGGACAAGCCTGAGGTGCAAAGTAGACCCCAGTGAGGTGGGGAGTTTTTGTTCCCTGCCTGTGCTCTCCACTGGGAGGTTGGCCCCCACCTGCCCCAGGCTGATGTCTCTCTCCTTTCCCATAGCAATGCCTCCTGCACCACCAACTGCCTGGCCCCCCTAGCCAAGGTCATTAATGACAACTTTGGCATTGTGGAAGGTCTCATGGTAAGTGACCTGGAAACATCAGGCCTGAAGGATAGAAAGGGGAGAGCTCTGTTACAGAACTTTCAACCAAAGGGGTTGGGCATGGGGTTAAGGGGGCAGTGATGGGGGGTGGTCTCTTTTCCCCACAAGAGGTGGTACAATCACCCATCCTGGTAAGCTTCAAAAAGTGTCTTGAAGCCTATCTTGCTGGGGTCACCTGATTCCAGGTCTTTCCTGTCCCAATGATCTGTAAGATCCTTTCCAGCCCCAAACAACTATGAGACTAACAGGCTTGGCTTTGTGGGTGGGGATTGTTGACCTAGTAGAGTAGGAAGGGTGATCCTTCCTATACCATCTGTACATTGGGGAAGGTAGGGGCCAGCAGGTAGCTCAGGTAGTGAGGTGAAACTCCAGGTGTGTATACTGCATTCTAACTCTGTCCCACCTTCCAGACCACAGTCCATGCTGTCACAGCCACACAGAAGACTGTGGATGGCCCCTCTGGGAAGATGTGGCGGGATGGCAGAGGTGCTGCCCAAAACATCATTCCAGCATCCACTGGGGCTGCCAAGGCTGTGGGAAAAGTCATTCCTGAGCTCAATGGGTGAGTATCTCCACCCTCAACCCCAAGGGTTACCTGCATGGGGGGAAGGGGGGCAGGATAACCTGCAGCTACAGCCTCCCAGCAGGCTGTGTCAAAACCCTAGTTTGACCTGGGAGTCATGGATGCACACTCATCTGGTGACACCTGACTTGTCTTGCAGGAAGCTTACTGGAATGGCATTCCGTGTCCCAACACCCAATGTCTCTGTTGTAGACCTGACCTGTCGCCTGGAGAAAGCAGTAAGTATTGCAAGTGCAGGATCTAGAGTAGCTTTGCTGCACTTGCTATATATTCGCTCTCTTCTTGATGAGAAGCAGTCCTCCCCTTGCCTTGTCCTAAGGGGACAGGCAGGGATGAGAGTCTCTGTTGGCTGGAATAGCATTTGATAGTCCTAGCTGTGCTGCTGTCGGTGTCTAAGCTGTGGCAGTGATCTGCCTTGGTGGGAGGGCAGGAGGGTTGGATCAGCTGTCACTTCATGAGTGCATTATGTGCTCTGTTTTGCAGGCCAAGTATGATGATATTAAGAAGGTTGTGAAGACTGCCTCTGAGGGCCCCTTGAAGGGCATCCTGGGATACACAGAGGACCAGGTGAGGCACTACCACCCTTTCAACAGACCCCAAATGGGTGAACAGCTCTCTTCTATGATGACTGGGATGTCTCAGACAAACCTCTCCTGCCATGGGCTGCTTGTGGATCAGAGTCAGCAGCTGCTTTTTGAAATGGGATGATTGTGGTAACAATCTTTCCCTTCTTCCAGGTTGTCTCCTGTGATTTCAACAGTGACACCCACTCATCCATCTTTGATGCAGGTGCTGGCATCGCTCTCAATGATCACTTTGTCAAGCTGGTCTCCTGGTACGAAGGGGATGAGGAGGGGTGAGGGTGGGGATGGCCAGGCAGTTCCCTTGGGGGGTAGGTGGGGAGCACTCCAGAGGCCAGTAAGGCCAATGCAGGCCTTGCATTCTATGCTTCTGCACCCTGATGGAGTCCCTGTGGTACAGTGTTATAGCTGAAGTTTTGGGAGTGTTCAGGTAGTGGCCTTTTGCAGCTGACCCCATTCCTTAATACCATCTGCCCTTTAGTGTTAGAAGCAACTGCCCTATATGTCTTTCCAGCTGGAAGAAACTGTTCAGGGTATGGGAGAGAAGGATTGCTGCTAAAGAAATTGTTCATCTTGCTATAACTGCTTCCTTGTTGCTTGTGTCCCCCTAGGTATGACAATGAATTTGGGTACAGCAACCGTGTGGTGGACTTGATGGTTCATATGGCTTCCAAGGAGTGAACCAGGCAAATGGCTCAGCTGCTGCCCGGGGAGGGAGGGGGAGGCTAGAGTCTCTCCTGTCGGATACTACCGCCCTCCTATCACCACTCAGTTCTGCAGCCTGCAGTGAGAGGCCAGTGCTGTTTCACCTGCCTTCTCCACTCCCCCACATGCCTCAAGCTTGGGGGAGGTGAGGAGGTGGCTGGGAACTGACCTGTTTCTATTCTATCTTTCCTCTAATAAAATAATTGCTGTCCCAATGCATTTGTTCACTGGTTTGTCTGTAAGGAAGGGGTGGAACCTGGGCAAGAAGAGGCTTATAAAGGTGGTGCCCCATTACAGTAGCTGTGGCCTCCTTTATGGATGGAAAGGTGGCTACTAAGATGCAAAGAAGTACACATGTAAACTAAAAATACCTCATGAAAACTGCTTTAAGGCTGCAAGGTGCCTGAAACATTTTTACTTGGATTCTCCCCCTCCATTCCAGACTACAGTGATACATAATATAATCCTGTAGCAAACACAATTCTAGTCTAAAAATAGCTACCTTGTTATCACTAAGGGAAGTGTGTCAAGCAGTGTGAACTGTAGATATCTGTGCTTGTCATACAGTCCAGACCTCCATCCCTCTGGGTGCAGGAGCAATTGATAGCAGTAGTACAAGATTGGGCTTGATATTCAGATTACAACCATGTTTCAGGCAGCAGTGTCAACGATTTTCATGGGTTCTGCTCATTCTGAAAGGACAGTTTTGACTGGCAGGCAAGTACATGGGATATTCCAAAAAGGGTGGGCGGGGAGTTTAGCCTTTCTTCTTCGGCTGAACTCAAACTTCTTTATATGGTCATGCCAGCTCTTGCAGAAATAGGAGATGAACTGCTTTCCTTTCCTTCCACTAACCTCTTGCTCACTTAGGTTAATGTTCTAGGAGCCTTTAGAACAAACTAGAGTGCTTGCATGTACCCAATTTATGTGTTAGCTAAGCAGGAGCTGTCATCTTCAAGAGCAGTTGAAACATCCTGTTGCTTTTGGTAGCTGAACAGGCATTTGGTATCTGCCCTTGCAGCAAAGATGCTGGTGTTTATGAGGAGCAGAAAGAAGCTTGGGGTGAGGTCCTCAAAAATGCTCAGGTATGGCAATGCTAACCTGAAAATTAATTGCCTCTCAGTGCAAGTGTCAGCCCCAAGAATGGTGTCTGGGCTCCTGTACCATGCATAGGGAGAGTAGGAAAGATATTTTAACAACCAAGTAGAGAGCTCACTGGGAATTAAACCTGGAGGAAAGGGGTGGGGGGGCAACAGGGGTCTCAGTAGCTGATGTGGCCAGACAGGTGGTTGGTTTAAGAGGCTGGACTGTGACATGTCTCTACCCCCTCCCCCATCCTAAGCCAGGACAGCTGGTCTAATGATGGAGCTTGGAGGGGGAATTGGCTAGATCTCATTCAGCTCACTTGGGTGCTGGGAAGGAGGAGAATTTGCAAGTTGGGGTGGTGGTTGGGAGTAGGGGGATGGAGGGGTATTTTTTTACTGGAAATAGCTTGAGATAAATGAGCTAAAGAATATGGCTGCTTTCCTGAGACTGGGGAAGGCAGGGGCAGGCGTTAGGCAAGCTGATGCACTAAATATACCTAGTCCTGGAAAATCTACATGCCTAGTGGTTAGGGTGTTCTGTTTGCAGTCTTTCTACTGCAGGGGTGTGCAATTACTTTGGGTGGATGGCCCCTTAATGAGTTTTGGTGAGCTGTCCCCACCCCTTGACAGGTGTCCCACCCCCTGGTCACCATTTTGGGACTGGAAGCCCCACCCCCAACCCCTGACCTTTGCCATCAGAAGTCCCTCCCCTTGGGGGAGGGAGTTGCCATCTTGGGGGGGGGGGGACATATATACTAAAAGTCAAATATCTACTGTACCATATTTAAATTTTATTTCAAAAAAATATTTTTGTCCTGAATTATGTGCATTTGCATAGTGTATAGAAGTGATTTCATAATGGCTCAAAATAAAGCCTTACTCTTGTATATTGTGTGGGGGAGTGTGGGGTTAGTATTCAGATATAGCTGTGTGTTGGGGGAAAGTGTAGGGTGTGGTAGGTGCAGGGTTTGTGAGGGTGTGGCTGCATGGTGGGGTGTAAGGTATGGTGGGGTGTGGGTGAGTGTGTATATGTGGGAGGGTTGTGGGGATCTTGAGAGGGCAGGGTTTAGGTATGGGGGCATGGGGACCCTCCCACACTCCCCACACATAGCACACAGCCCCCATGGCTGCTGGTGGCAACAACAGAAGGTGGCAGGCCCTTGGGGTGCTGGGGGCCTGTGTAGGCACAGCTGCCCAACAGTATGCAGCTCCAGCCAGCTCCAGGATCTGCATGTGGCAGCAAGGAGCAAAGCCAGGCCTGCCTCTATTGTGTGGGGCTTGTGTGCAGCTCCTGGGACTCGCGCATCACTGAATGGAAGCCCCACAGCTGCTCCCTGCTGCCATGTGCAGCTTCCAGGATGGCCAGGAAGCAGGGAAGGCAGCTGGCTCCATTGCATGGGGCTTCCCCCCAGGTTGCATGCAAGTCCTGGGAGCTGCACACAAGCCCTGCTCAACAGAGGCAGGAGCCACATACTGCCAGGCGGTTGTGCCTGCGCAGGCCACAAGCACCCCCAAGGCCCACCTGCTGCTGCTAGCGTTAGTGGCAGGGACTGTGTGCCATGGGGAACGTACGGGGTCCCCACAGCCCCAAACCTTGTGCACTTGAGTGCTCCACAACACCCCCCCCCCCAAATATACACACACCCATGTCCCCTAAACCCCACTCACCCATACCCTGCCCACCCGAGCTCCTTGGTTACACCACCCATGGGGTGCAGGCCCTGGGCTTCATGCTCCTGCCAGCCCCACGCTCCTGCCCAGCTGCAGCTTCCCTAACTGCTGCCCAGAGCAAGCCCTGCAGCAGACATGAGGAGGAGCTGAGGAGACCAGGGAAGCCAGCAGGTCCCCTGGTGGCTGCAGCAATGGCCACACTCAGAAGCTGTGCATGCTGGCCAGGGCTGGACCAGGGTCCTCCCACACACGAGGGTGGGAGCAAACCACATGGGCTACTGGGGTACAATTAATTGGTGGGAGCCCATGAGCCAAATGAAAAATTACCTGGTGGGCCAGATGGAGCCCATTGGCCATAGTTTGCCTGCCCCTGCTCTACTGGTTTGTGGAAAACCTGGCTCCCAATCCCAGCTTCAGCTGATTTGAAACAAGGCATTTAAATGCTATAGCCAAAGGGAGTGCCCACATAGGCTCTTCTGAATTGGGTGTCTCTTTCTTGTTTTCCCCTTCTCTCCTCTTCCAGCTTTGCTGGAGATGATCAGATTTGCATAACACCAAGCCAGGGAGACAGTGATTCTCAACTGGGGCTGTCATCATGAAGTAGTTCCAAAGGTGCTGTGCACCTGGCCCCTGTGCCAGGAGGTAAGCCTCTTGCTGGGCACCCCAGAGCCCTGTAGACAAGCAGTGCTCAAAGCTGCCTCCCTACCCCTGGCAGCCCCTGCAGTCCCAGAAAGCTACTTCAAGCTGCACATGCATTGGGAGGCACACAGGGGCTTACAGAGCCATGACGTTTAGCCCTGTCCCATGCTCCTGGGGCTGCCAAAAAAAGGCTACAGTTTAGTTGTTGTTGCATGAATCACTGGAGGAGCAGCCATGGCAGGGTAAGCGTGGCTTCCCCTGCCTTCAGGTACAGATCAGGGGCTATGGAAAAAGCAGTGCACAGTGGGGTGAGGTCTTGCCCCCACTGTCCTCCTCTGGATAGATTCTAGCTTGGTCATTCTCAGCCAGGGTGCCATTACATGCCAAAACATTATGAAGGGGTGTCTTGAGACTGAAAAGTTTAAGAATGATTGTAATAGTCTGATGAGCTGTTTGTGAGGTACTGCTTCTTTTAGGAAATTTGCTTTGGGGGGTCTCTTGGGTTTTGGATAGAACAAGAGCATCAAGCAGTTTGGGGGGGGGTGCATGCATGCACATGCACGCACACAGGGTTTTAATTTTTTTTTTAAGGAAAATTTTTCATGTCCCAGGTCAAATTAGCCAGGTTGGGTCCAAATCCATGTGAATCATCCAAGAGTGGTATGTGGCTCTGCTAGCAGCAAGTATCCTCCACCCCAGCCTTGGTCTTCAGCTACTTCCAAATCCTTTGGCAGGCATCCCATCAGGCCTAAGCCCAGAGACTTGGGGTTTCGATGCCCCTGAGTTTTGCTTGCCCTCAGCCATATGGCCACAGGAGCAAAGTATGGAGGAGTGTCCCATTTCCATCAACTCGGTGTGTAGCCAAGATCCTCCCATTGGAATCTGACCAATGAGAAGCTAACCATGAGGTTCTTATAGAGAGTCTTATCTGCAAGCAGACAAGGGTTCAACCTTCTACTACACAGTGACATTTTAACTGCATTACCTCAGTCAGGATATTTCCTTTACCACCATCATGGTCATATGTCCCTTGCCAGATGAGTATGTGTGCATGTAGGATTGGCAGGATAGTATTATTAACATCTGATTGTTTTGCACAGCAGCCTAGTAGGGCCTTGGGTGTAACAGGGAGCCCCCTTTGTACACTTCCCTTCAGGGCATTGACATAACAGAAGCCCCTTTTGTGCATTTCTTTTTCCTTCTAAGTATTGCCAGAGACCTAGCACACTCATTGCATGGGTGTGGCAAGGCTCAGAGCAAGCCAGAAAGCTGAAGTGGCTTTCTGTAGGAGAAACCTACAAACTACATCTACATATCAATAGAGCTAAGTGTCACTAAAAAAAAAAAGAACTAAAATATCCACTTCAAAGCAAAGCCTGTAAGAGACAAGAAAAGCCAAGGTGCAGTGGAAGCATGTCTGTAAATATATCCTGGTGAACACATTCCCCCTTTGATTAAGACCCACTTCCCAAAGCAAACTTCCCATATCTGTCTCAAGTTTTATGCTAAATCAGTCTACATGACTGCATCTAACCTAACTCACTTACTGTCCCCAGTGGCCTTTGATCCTCACTACCTCACATTGCATTTTTCTATATTTCTCACAGTACATTTTTATATTTAATCTGTCCCATCTTTGCCCTGACTTTCTCTATTTTATGTTTTATACCTTTTAATGAATGTATTCTTTAGAGTAAGTCATACCTTGTATTACTAAAATTATTATTGTAAGAATGCACTGTAATTGTAATCACTTGAATTGTATTGCTGTATTGGGCTGGTCCCCTGCCCCTGAGTGAATGCCAGTAGGCACAAA